AACATTTGTCAAAAAAAATTAAAAAAAAATTGAGCGTGTATTAAAACGCTATTCGCGAGCGGCGTTCGGAGGTAGGTGGACGGATAGAACACCGATTTTCCGAAGAGCATTAGCAATAAAGTGAGAGCGATCGCAGAGCCTAATGATTAGTCAACACAGGGCGGGGGCGCTTCCTGGGCACGTTTCGGTAAATGAGCCGCTGATTATTTGCCCCTAAGCCGGGCCCGTTTGCCCCTAAACCGGGCCTATTTGCCCTCGCCTCCTCCGCTAATTAATGCGAAACGTTAACCCGCGCCCGCTTTTTGCCAAGAACGCTATAATGGGCTCTCCGGAGTGAAATATCTTTCCGGTTTCCCCCTTTTTTTTCATTGCTGTGTAACCCATTTGAATATCTATATCATTATATAGAAACGAAAGTGTTTCGCTGAAATTTCCTGCGGCGTTAGGTTGTAAATAATTGTTTAAAACACTCACGTTTTAAATGCTTTTAATGCTGTACGAGAAACAAAGCATAAAGATAAACAATACATACAGCATAAAACAATAAATAGCCCTCAATTAAGGCAAGGTAGTGACAACCATTGTCATCATCATTTCAGCCTGTTTGAGTCCACTGCTGAACATAAGCCTCCCCCATAGACTGCCACAAAGTACGATCCTGAGCCACCTGCATCCATCGACTTCCCGCAGCATTGGCACAAGTCGTCGCTCCATCTAGTTGGGGGTCGTCCTACACTGCGATGGCCAGTACGAGGCTGCCACTCGAGAACCTTTCTTCCCCAACGGTTATCGGTTCTACGACCTATATGGCCGGCCCATCGCCACTTCAGCTTGCTAATCCTCTGAGCTCGGTTACCTTGGTTCTACTGCGGATGTCTTAGTTACGAAGTCTATCACGCAGAAAAATACCGAGCATAGCCCGCTCCATAGCTCGCTGAGCGATTTTGAGCTTCCTCATACGGCCAGCAGTGAAGGACCACGTCTCGGTTCCGTAGGTCATCACTGGCAACACACATTGATTGAAGTGACAACCAAGCAATCCTAATAGCATGTATCAATAATGCTTAACTTTTTACCTTTTTTATGCCAAAATCTCTCGTATACAGAAAAGATCTTCCTTACATACTGGACTGTATACGCGTCTGCTAGTGTCGATTTATTTTTCTAAGATACGTAGAACGTTTCTATCCATTACCATATGTCAAACTGCCAACTGCCAAACTTCACGCCCTCTCCAGTTACTGAACTGTTAGCTAAGTCGACTGGAAACATTAAAACATCCGAAATATTCTACCGAAACAAATTTGCTTACATAAGGCCCCATCTCCGCCGACCGTGCCCCGCACCCGCCTTCCGTATAATTTAGGCGCGAAATTTACATGTGTCGACTTAACTCTCCCTTCCCGGGTGATTGATGATGCATCGGGAAATCATATTAGCGCACCCCGCCGAAAAAAGCCACCCAAATATTCTAACTATGGCAAAATTTATTAAAGCGTAGGGATATTGAGGTTAAATTTTAAACATTAGACACGCGATGTGGTGTTTCATAATATCCAAAAGCTTTCAATCTGCCCGTCTGTTGAGATTCTGTCAGTTGAATTTTAGGAAATCAGTGATGACAATGTTCTATCTCAATTTTTTTCTAACCCTTTGGAAGTTATCATCCTAAGTTATAACAGCTTTGTTCGCAGTAAAAACAGTATTACAGAAACTTATGCGTTTTGCATTGTCAATATCAATTAGGTTTGCATCGAAGACTTATATTTAATATAAACACGTAAGTCTAAACCAGTTTCAGCCCATGAAATATTGATATATTCAAGTCTAATTAACACTATGCATTCTTAGAAGTATTTAAAGAATAATTTAGAAGGTGTAAACAAAAAATTGTTTACAGGTATGTCAATTTTAAGCAGCTTTATTATTTTATTTTCATTTTATTTATTGTTTCTTTACATAAATTTATTTATTATGTGTTTACATATCTTTCTGTCAACGCATACTTGGACTTGTCAGCTGACTCATTCAAAATTATTACTTTTGTACGAAAGTAATTACAGTAGTTTTACTGCTTGGAAATTACACTACTGTATTGCATAATATAATATCCACCTAATACTTTCTTAGTTCGTCTGCACTTCCAAGTTTCGTAAACTTGACATTAGTAACCCTTAATTTCATTTGCTCACGCTCTTTTAGTTTAATACAAATGAGAAATTAACAGTTAATTGTGTTGTTCTAACACTAATCCAAATGCATTCGTAATACAAACGCCGCAATACATTAGTTTAGTGATCAATGAATAGCAACCTCCTTACTATTTAACTCTTATTTGAAACCACAGCGTCACTAAATTGATTGGTAGTCGATTCATTGCTTGTTACATACGCAATTGATATCGTTGCTGACGTAAGTAACTAGGCAGTGTAACTTACAGCGTGTTGTATTCATGCCATTCAGTTGATACCACATGTTAGCTAATCAAGGCTCGAGTTAGGCGATTATCGATACCTATTGGTCTAGACTAAAACCGAGACTTAGTAACGGCAGCACGAAAAGGTTAATAATAAAATGTCGTACACATACAATAGACACACAACACTTTTTTTCACAATGAGCAAGTTCTTGCTTACCAATGGGATAATATTATAAACATATAGATATAAATAGTAATTGATGGCACGTTTTTATTAGTTATTTACATTACCTTTTTGTATGTCAATTTTGTTTGTTTGTTTCAATTTACTCCTATTGGAAATTGTTAGAGGATTTATCAGATCGAGGAGGATTAAACATAAACGTTTTTGTAATACTCACTTGCTTAGAGGTGGTGTAGATAAAATAAACTGTGATAAAAATAAACTAAATGACGTTTCATCGTTATCATCAGATTTTCTGATGCCAATACTTGTTCAGACCGGAAGGCTGAGCAATGAAGGATGATTGAAATTGCTTTTCAAAGTATAGCACGTCATAATAAAAACTAGTAAAGTTTTTAAAATAAAGCAAGTGCATTTATTCTAAGAGTTGTTGAGTTTAGTTCAAGAGCCGATTGAAAATTATGGGCTTCCAGAAACTTCTTAACACGGCTGCTGTCCGTACGTCTCACTACGCTACGGGCTAATGCCCTATCGGTGCAGTGACGTCACACATTATGGTCACTTTCACCGCAAGCTGCACGTGGCGCGTGTAAACACGGGCACAGATCTATCCGTTCCTCTCAATTAGTATGCCCATATTAAATTAAACTCTGCCTTAAACGATAGGGCTAGCAGTAGGGCGTTTAGAAACTATGGTGAATCTAATACTTCGATCACGGTGATCTGTTTCACATAATTGTGCTATGAAATGTAGGTACCTCAAGTTGCCCAAGATTACTATTTTCAACGCGGAGTTTTTTTTACATAAAAGAATCATTTTAAGATCGACTATAATTACAAAACAATGTTAATTTCTCATATAAAAAGAATAATTTGCACTCATTAGGTAATCTTAAAACACAGCGAGTAATCTACGTTAAAATTATATATTTATGTATATTATATAGATAATATTACAACATATGTGCTCTCTTTAAGGCATTAATTCTGGGACTAAAAGGAAATACCTATATGCACATTTTATGTAATACTGATTTTTTTTTTCTTGCTTTCAATAAATCTGTTTGACTTCAATAAAATAAATAAACAGATTTTGGATGACTTAATCGTTAAAATATTCACACAATCAAAGAAATTCATAAATAGCCATGTAGAAATGTGGTTGGGAGGGGGCAAGGCAGGGTCACAAAAATATAACTTGTAGCGGCGGACATCACTTTGAAAATTCCGATCACAAAAAAAAATGAAAATTAAAAAACCGTGGCGGAACACGGGATGGTTGGGAACTGTCGAATGAGGTGGTCCGAGGAAGAACCACGACCTCACAAAAGGACGTAGAAGTATAACTCTTGCACTTCACGCCTGATGTTTCACATCCGAAAAGTTATAGTTTTGCGTTTCTACGAGTGAGTGAGGTGACCGTCGTTATTAATAGGTGGCAACGCATCTGCAACCCTATGGGTGTTGCAAAGTGTTGCAAATGTTCATGGACAGCGGTTATCACTTGCCATCAGATGAAACGCCCGCTTGCTCGCCATCTTCGTACATAATAAAACAAATGCAGACAGATTGAAACTTTTTAATAGAGACTAAGATCCGTACAATTTGGCTTAAGGAAAAGTACTTCGGCACTTCTTCTTCGCCTCACAAACATAATTATACTTCTTATCGATTCTTGAATCTATTATTTTCTTTTATAGAATATCAAAGTTGCAAAATCTCCATCTACAGTCTAAAAATCGTTGAGCCAAAAATCTAATATTGTGATATAAAACTTAAAAGACATCAATATATTAATAACGATGGTGATAAATTTTTATATGTAATGAAGTAACACATTTTCTTTACCAGTCTAGGGGACTAACTTCGACTTAAATCCGACAACTTATAAATAAAAAAAAGGTTGTAGTGTCCCGAATTGTGAATATAAACCCTTCTCGAATAAACTTGAAGACACTCAACAAAATTTAATTAAAAACGGTCCAGCCGTTTGGGAGGAGTTCAGTGACACACGTACAGAAGAATTATATATATAAAGATAGCAACATTATAACAACTTTAAACATCACAGTTACTCTGCTGGAGGTACTTCTTAATTCTTCATATAGTTCTTCTTTACTATTATATTACTGTACTCAAAAGATTCTGCGATAGAACAAATCCACTTCATGATCCCTGTGAAACAGTTTCTTTTGCACCCCGAACGGTAGATATGACATTGCCAATCTGCGACGGGATTAGATGCGTCAGTTTCTTAGTGGGCACCTGTTGAGCATGCAGCCAGTAGTGCGTGCTACCTACATATACGTTCATAGCGATTCAACCAACCTAGTCGGGCACTCTCACTAGACTTGACCTCAACCGCTTGGCTGCGGTTGCGTATTAGATATCTTAGCAATGGACGTCTGGACGTTAACAAATACCCCCGCTAAATGGGTCAGGGTTGAAGGTTTCTATAACGTGTCTGGAGTTTGACTTAAAAGTGAATTTTAAATGAATAAGGAGAATTTTGCTTTAGTATTTAATAGATTCTGTCATAGCTTTGGGGATTTAAAAGAGCACACGTTACAGGATGTTTTCGAGTTGGTGAAAAAATTAAAAAAATACAAGTTGAAAATGTACTGCTGTGTGACGGTGAAAATAAAAATTCAGAAGCCTAAAACAGTTATAACTTTGCTTAAATTGCTTACCACTTAATAATCTGTTAAATTCGTACATTTAACATTTAATAAATAATATGCATTGTAGTTTAGTGGTTTTTCTAGAGATCCTGAATCAAACATAAAACTTAAGCTTCTTTGTTTTCAAGCCCCTTTTACTTTCACGTCGTTTGCCAAACAAATTCCCTCTTCGCATAACCAAAAAAAAAACAACTTACCCGTACTGTTTCAACAATTTGTGATTTATCAGACAGTTTGGGCTAAATCGATACGCTATCACTGTCTAATTTCAAGCCTACTCTGTATAGACCCACAATACACGTAAACCAATTTCACTTTCGTTCACGACTGCACAGACATTTGCACTATAATACAATCTAGCCGCCCAAGGAGCGCTTTCACTTTCTTTGTCGAGCTTGCGTATTGCTTAGACTTAACCTTGAGGTGACCTTGTCTGCCAGGTTCCATTTGTCATTTGTTCCATCGTTTCTTGTATCGAATTAAAGATGTCAAGGATTTGAAGAAAGACAATGTTTAAGTATATACATATTATATTTTCAACCACAACTAATGCAGCAATAAAGGACGTAGTTTAGTAGGTAATATGTAATTAAGTTAGGTTTAAATTTTATAATTATTTTATATAATATTTTTTTACTTCCTTTTTTATATTGTATTCTGTGCACATTTCTGGGGGATATTCATCTGATTTCTCGTCTGATTGGGTTTATAAATAAAAAATAAACATATAGATACATATTGTATATATAAAATAAATATTATGCATAAAAATAAACATATACATATAAAAATATACTACATATAATACACATATAAATAGGACCCAATCAGACGGAAGCCCTCGGCAGGGGAGACCAAACGGCCGAGGGTTAGGGTGAAAGGGAGAGAAACCGGCGGACGATGCGGGCAGTATCGAGGAGCACCGCTTTCTGCATTAGAGCTTGGAGCGTTCCGTCCCGGAGTCCCAGTCGCCTTAGATGTCCGGAGAGGCTGGCTGGGATCAACCCATTCGCAGATACGACTATTGGGATAATTTCGGTCGGTACACCGCCCCACATGTCGGTCACCTCGTGAGCCAGGTCCAGATACTTCGTCTTCTTATCTGTTTCGGCTTTCTTATTATTAAGTTATATTTCGGCACATTTCTTATTATTAAGTTTATTAATCTTACTTGATATACTTCGTGTGTTGTGTTTGCCTTTAATTAATTATGCATTTAGCTATAGAAATATACTTAGTATACTACTTCTATTTAATATGTAAGAATTGCTGGTAAACCAAAAAATAAAAAATTGTAAATATTGGATATCGAGTATGTAAAGCGTAAATACGGAAAATAACCTCATAATGAAGGCAAAACTTTAATATTTTTTGGTTGCACTTAAAAACTGCGCAGTAAAATACACAACTCGTAGAACGTAATTCGACCGAACAAATAGTGAATATTACGCCAGTACTTATGAAATATCCAATGCACACGAAACACGATGATGAATTTTGCGTTCATATTGACAGTGATGTAATAGTGCCGAGAAAATGTTCCATTTAATACAGTTCAAAAACATACACCAATCAGAGTAAAGTAAGGTTAAAATATCATTGGAAAGGGCAGATCTTTTTAAATTTCTGTTCAATAACATTCGTAATCAATTTTTCTAAAGAACATTAAGACCAAACATCTATTATGAATAATTGAAGTACACAATTATTTAACGACATAAAAAATGTATTTTAGAATATTGCTGTAATATATATACATGGTAATTTCATCGCGTTTTAAAAGAAAGTTGAGTAGGAATCCTTTATTTTGTGTTTATATGGAGCCTATGCTCAATCCGTAGACAAAAGAGGAGTATAAAACCGGCCAAGTGCGAGTCGGACTCGCGCACTAAGGGTTCCGTACCAATATCTACCGCGGATGGATGGCGCACTTTGGGGGTGGCTTACGTTCAGCACTGGAGGGCAATTGGCTAATATTGCATTGTATTGTATTGTATCTATAAAACGGCAAAATCATGTCTGATGTGGGAACCCCACTCAAATATTTTTTATTCTGTTTTTCAGTATTTGATGTTATAGCGGCAACAGAAATACATCATCTGTGAAAATTTCAACTGTCGAACTATCGTGGATCATGAGGTAGAGCCTGGTGACAGACGGACAGATAAACAGACAGCGGAATCTTAGTAATGTCCCGTTTTACCCTTCGGGTACGGAAGCTTAAAATTGATATATCAGGTATTGTGGATATATTTTGAAAAAAAAAATGACTACCTTTAAATTTTAATTAAGCTTTTGATAGGCTTACTTTTGCTTATGTTTGTTCATACTATAATTCAATATCCCAGCAACCTAAGTTCAAATCAAGATTTAGCACTAGAAATTTTAATTTAAACTAATCAACGATTTCTCGAGTATACAGAGGGATGGTGGGGACAAGTTCCTAGAAAAAAAAAGACGTACCGGTAGAACTGGAATGATGACAGGTTTATTGTGACAAGTTCTATGCGAATTGTTTTTTAACATGAACTATTATTAAACAAGAGCCACATAAAGTGCGTGGTGTAACTGTAATGCAAGGACAGTAAGAAAAAGGCAGAAGAAAGCGGGTATCACCCCTATTGACCGCTAATGGTCGAAAGTTGTCTGCGGCTCACACAAGCTCGCTTACGATACGATACGTGAACGATAAATTGGACTGAAAAGCAAAGAGCGTGCATGTTATAAGTATGAGATATGTTTATAAGGCACAGATTGCCGTAGAGGAGTCTATCGTCGTGGAGAACGATAGGCTCAAAGTTGCATTGAAGGGCGCGTTTAGTTGAAGGCGGATGGTTGATGATGACAATGGGAGTGTATGGTTTGATGGTAGCGGTGGTTTAAAGTCACACCGCTACATAATAGGGATTTTGGAGGCTTATGTGGGGTCTTATATCGGATTTATACGCGAAAATTTTATTCTACTCCAAGATGATGCTCGACCGTACGCCGCTATACAAGTTCAACAATATTTTTAAGAGGTCAGGATGCGCACTTTTATATATAAAAATCGTTTTTACTTTCATGTAGATTATATGTCCGTTATAGATTTTTTTTTATATAGAGAGTAGTTTGAGACTAACCATTCCTACGAATCAAACTATTTTAAATCCGTATAGGTAACTGTACACATTTATTTGTAAAAGATATAAGATCTTATAATTAATGTCAATAATTATGATATTTAGATGTTCCATTTTAATTAGCACAATTTCAATACCCTATTTCTTATACGTTTACCTTTTAAGAATCTATTCTCTATAAACAACTAACATAAAACTACCATACAAACGATACGCTCGCGTACTCGTTGACGCACCAAAACCCAATCGCAAATAATCTCCAGCGTGGGCTGAAGAGATCACGAAGCCAGCGGCGGCCATTAGCCCGCTCAAAGAAACTCACGCACGCGGCATTATCGACCGCGGGAATAAGGCGCGGTATCCTGGCAACCGGCCGCGGCTAGCCCTTCAGATGTCGCGGGCCCTCTTGCGGGGACCACGCGGGGGCCGGCCCCCGAATTCGGCATTGATCCGCCAAGCGCGCCTGCGTCCTAAACGAAAAACGAACCGAGGAACGCGCAAGGTCACGTCGGCCACGCGGCTTCCTTTTTTCGGGTTCGAATATTGAATGGAGCATCATGGCGGCCGAGCCGGGTTCATTGGGACACCGCTCGGCACGCGATTGACGTATCGGCTGTCTTCATTTTTTTATGAGGGAATGGAGCACGCACGCAAGTTGCTCTGTATTGTGCCAGACCAGTTGCGCTGGCCTTTAAAGGTGGCCCTCAGTTACCTTACTCGCTGGCTGAAATGCAAAAATACGTACTCCTATACATACTTCTGCGTCACATTTTTAGCTGTGGTAGGGCCACGCAACAGTGTTCCCTGTTGCGCGAATGGGTATTTCCGTCTGTGAAACTACCACGACCTCACGGAAGACCGACGTGAATTGGAAGCGTTTCACTTATGCGTTTAGTCCGGCGAATGAGGTAGCTGGGGCCCACTTTATTAAAAGGTCTCAACGCATAAGTGTATTAATAAGTGTAACGGCTATGATTTAACATTAGGTGAGCGGCCAGCTCGTTTGCCGCCTTCTCACATTAAAAAAACAACGCTGGTGAGACTGTAGAACTTCCTGGAGGGACTAGCTTATTGGCACAACAGAACCAGCTGCGGGGATAAATTGCATCTTTATTTTTTTTCTATTCGTTCATCGTTGTCTCTGCTCCCAACCGTCTAAACTGAATTAAGCGTTATATGCCAACTTGTATTTGAGTGTCCCAAAGGAAATCTTCGTCCCAATGACAAAAGTATCAACATTTTTACATAAATACATTAGAACCATCGAGGAATTTCCCAAAAACTCTTGCAGTGTGCCTATTTTTATCGAACAATGCAACCTGCAATGGACCTTCCGTTTAATCTTCAAGAAAACATGAGCACAGTAGGCAGTTTACATAAACCAGGCTTGCTTAATTTCCAACTCCTCTATAAAAAGTGTAACAGGTGAAATCCGTTTCTTTAGCATTGTTATGTTCTGTCATTTTTGCGACCTTTTCGTTGTTATAAACTATTTTTTATGACAAATGAATCGTTTAAACTTAATTCTTATTTTAAATTATGAAGGTATATATCCTGAATACTCTTCAACTACTACACGTCAACCATTTTAAATAAAATTACTCTAAGGGTTTTATCGCCTCTAATTTGATTTTTGGTTTCCGACACATCGATTTTAAGATACACTACCACACAGGTAAGCGTATCTGTGTGGGTTAGATTAAAATACACACTTACATAATCTGAATCTAGCCCAGGATACTATTCAGTTTGTCCCGTGATCACGACCTCTGTTAAGTGTTCAAAAAATCTGGAACTTACGAATAAATTGCGATAACACCTGTAAATTAATTTAACTTTTACTAGACATGTGTTTTCCCAATGAGGAAGTATCCATTTCAATCATCAAATCGCCGAACGTCAGCATGGTCTTGACATTTTTAATTTTTAAGACTTAATGACTTAAATTAAGGTACCTGCCGTATAACAGTGTAATAGATAACGTATTAGAGACAAGTTATAAAACATAGCTTTTACCGATTTATACAATTTTAATTCAACAATTTAGTTAGTTCGTAAAGAAGACATCCGCAGTAGAACCAAGATAACCGATAGAGCTCAGAGGATTAGCAAGCTGAAGTGGTGATTGGCCGGCCATATAGCTCGTAGAACCGACAACCGTTGGGGAAGAAAGGTTCTCGAGTGGCAGCCTCGTACCTACTGGCCGTCGCAGTGTAGGACGACCCCACACTAGATAAAGTGACGACCTGTACAAGTGTGCGGGAAGTCGATGGATGCAGGTGGCTCAGGATCGTACTTCATGGCAGTCTATGGGGGAGGCCTATGTCCAGCAGTGGACTCAAATAGGCTGAAATGATGATGATGATGATCAATGACTCAATAATTGGATAACAATAATACTTAGCTTCTCCTGCAGAAATTGTTAGAGACAAGTTATAAAACATAGCCTTTCCGATTTATACAATATTACATAGTTTTTCCAACAGAGCAACAGCCTTAACTTCCAATAACCAAAAAACTAACCCGCGTACGTTGTGAGAGTTGAATTTATACCCCTCAAAAACAAATACCAACCACCCCCAACTCTAGGGTGTAGGAAATATCATTACGCAATAGGTATCAAACCAACAACTTTTAAATAAATCACAACAAACTGTGCTAATAAACGCACGTGGAGGATCTCATGCTCATGGGATCAGACTATGCTTTTTCAGACCTTTACAAGCATTATTAGTGTATCAACCGTAACCGAGAACATCAGATGTCATAGCAGATTAATCTTAAACACTTCATATTGACTTATTGTGATTGCAGATTCATTTTAAACACTTTATATTGACTTATTGTGATTGCAGATTCATTTTAAATACTTTATAATGACTTATTGTGATTGTAGATTCATTTAAACACTTTATATTGACATATATAACGCAGTGCCAATAAAAGGAATAAAACAAAACAATATAAGGACCGTCTAACACTGCTCTCGCCGCGTCCACGGAAAACATCCGCGGCGTAGTCGGCGGCAAATACAATCGGAAACCGAATTATCTAATAAATTAACTGACGTCAGAGGCGTGTCGGAGAACGGGAAGGAATAACGCGCGAACTAATGGTCCTGTCCTTTCAATTAACTGAAAATGCCGATATAAATCCTACGCGAATGCAATGGCGGCTGATCTAGTTAAGCCCTCCCCGCAGATAAGCAGTTCAGGTTTTGCTTTATCCGCTCGCTACGGGAGTTTCGATGTTCTGCGGTCGCACAGACGGAGAACGCTCTGGAAGTATTTGAATTTAGAAATGTTGAGGTTGTGAAAAATCAATTGGCAGTTACAACGGCTATCCCGAGAGGTAGGAGGTCGAATATGTTATTTATACCCCATCAAAGAAGACGCATATAACCGGTTGAATAATAATGGTCCTCAGTGAAAACGTGGCATACTATGTGACATTTAATCCTCTGTGTTTAAGACAACAATGGTCTCTCATCTTGTTTTATGCTCTAAGGTGGGGTAATTCTCCGTGAAATATTACAATCACTTCCTTCCAATGTAAACCCATGATCTTCTATTTTATGTGTAATGTTTCTGCCACTTAGAAGCCAATATTATATTTTTAAAATGTAACTATAAATCTAAAAGCATGTTTACTTTCTACTTTCCACTCGCCCTATAATATGGTTTTAGATATTTATTGAAACTGTTTTCAAATCAACGCCCGAATTTGATTTTTTAGTTCATGTATCTTCAAATTAACTTTTTTTTATTTAACAAATTTACCGCTCTTTAAATAAGTTCATCCAAAAATACAGTTCGTCATACATTTCGTCTAAAAAGAGAAAAACAAATTAATAATAGCGAATGTTAAAATATTTGCCACAATTCATTTTTCAATACGCTTTCTAATGACGAAAAAATACAAATCACATACATAACTCAATTAAATAATTAAAATATAAACAATATTGCCTTTGATCACTTAAAGTTTTCCAGAAAAAAAGAACAAACAGGCACTCGCGTACAATTCACTCTATGGTTTTTGGAAAGCAGTCATAACTTGGCTTCTGCTAATGCTAAGTTTCACAAGGTTCTTAAAATAAAAACATGATGTAGCAGCAACGCAGCTTGAGCGAATCAAATATGTGAGAAGAGATTTTAGAGCCGGTTATGTAAATTATAAAGCAATTATAAATGTGTCGAACAGGTGAGGTCAAGCTCATAAGGAGGGGTCAATTGTAAGATGTTTTCGCCGGCTATTGTGAAGCTACTTTAAATTGCAGATGCGTTTAATTTCTCACGGGGCCGCCTCAGGCGTAATGCGCGATTTCGCTGTTTGTCAAGAATTAACCTTTTCAGATTTATGCAGGAAATTTGCATCATGCATACGAATCAAGCTCAACGGCTAATAACGCAGAACCGTTTCTGTTACCGCGGAATCCTTTCTGATAACTATTATTATTAGTATTCCTTAATTCGTAATAGCTAATTTTATTCCATTCATATTTAGAACCTTCAAGTTGTTTATTCGATTTATTTGTTCAATATAGTGATAATATTATGCAAGTTGTTCAGATAAAAAGTTTCTCCTGTAGTATTTTTATGTTCGCGGAAGAAAACGCATCGTTTGAAATATTATGTACACTTAATTGATTTATTTCTAATATACTAAATACTTCAGCGAAATTATATTTAAAATGCAAATAAAAATTATCTAGCGACTTTAAAACACGTTACTGCGTTACACTACGTTTATGTAATATCAACGTAAAGGTAAATTACGAATTTTGCCGATGAGCAAAATTGAATTATAAAAATTAGGTACTTCATATATTTTCAATTACCGTTACCAAATGATTGAAAATCAACAGTGCCCGTTACAAAAAAAATCGCTTCATGCAAATACGCCACCCGTAAGGAGTTACGGACAACAATGCAGCATCTTTATGCTAATCCCGTGTAGGGTCACGATTCTTGACCTTATCACGCAGGGGTCACTCGGAATGAATATTCGTTGAACAGGTCCAGCTGACCCCTGACCCCGTGTTCTCACGCTCGAACCCTAAAAGGTGAACAGTATCTTTGACAATTAACCCCTTAGCTATTCGCGCGTAAAGATTTTTGACCTCGCAAGCTTTACAATGTCGGGAAGAAAACACGAGTACTCGTTTTTTAATCGTCAAAAGGCCCCGCTAATGATATACCAGCCAGTTCGCGAAGTGGAATCGAAAACATTTTTAAACTGCGCTGGCCACAGAGTAAATATCATTTTATTTTTTTATTTTAAAAGATGTGATGAGATTAGGAGTCGAAATGTTTATACACTGTACATCGTAATGAAACTATTTTTAAAGATTATATTAGGTTTTATTTTGGTATTTGAATACCCGAAGTTTCGAACCTTAACCGGCGTCACCGGTCACGGGACATGGAACCAAAATGAAAGGCGATATCATTCACGTGAAGTACTCGCGTAAATATGAGAAAACGGATGCATTCAACGACTATGTCTCATTTGAGTCTCAATTGTCCCATTTGACGACTATGT